ATATATATATATATATATATATATATATATATATAAAATCTGCACATATGTGTGTGGGTGAATTTACCCCTGCTTGTGCGTATGGAAGCCAGAGGTCAATGTCAGACATGTTCTCTTGTGCTTGTCTCTTTGTGGTTTTGAGAGAGTCTCTCACTGCAACTGGAACTCAAATTTCTGCTGTGCTGGCTGGCCAGGGAGCTCATGGGATCAATCCACCTCTTCGTCCAACTATAGGGACTACAGGTGTGTGCTGCCACATTCCACTTTTACACGGGTACTGATTGCAAATGGGGGTCCTCACACCAATGCAGCAACCACGTTAACTACTGAGCGATCTCTCCAACCCCAAGACCTCTCTTTTTTATATATAGATTTTAATCTTTCAGACTTTTTTTTTTAAAAAAAAACAGAGGATAAGATGCCACAAAATGTAGTTGACATGGTTTGGGGGGAGTGTCACATCAATTGTACTCAGATTAGAGTCAGATAGGGATGAGTCCCCATCACAGTTCCATCCCTGGCCAAGCCACTGCACTATCAGGTCATCTATCTCCTCTGAGGATGAGCATAACTCAGCATCCAGTGCTGGGACAGAGGTGAATGCCTGTGATGGGAGCTGTCACAACAGTAAGAGCTGTTATTTCAGCTGGAGGAGTTGCAGGCAAGCCTGCTGTAAGTGCCAGGACACAGTTCACAACAGTTAACACATGTTGGTAAAGATATGAGGGTATAAAGGTTCTCTTACATTGCTAGAAAATGTGCAAATTGGTAAACTCGCTTCAGATGGACATCCAACACTAGTAGACTTGACACTTAACCCATCCAATGACCCAACAATGAGCTTCTAGTTAGCTCAAGGTACTCTTGCACATGTGAATCAGAAAACATATAAAACGATGCTTGTAGCAAAACACTGGAAGCAGAGTAATGGTCCATGAACCAAATGTAATGTGTTTACGGAATGAAGTATTCCATCCATCTTCTCATCTACACAGAGTCCCAAAATCTAATTATGAGTTTTGCAAAAGTTTTGGTAGACTGAGTTAGCATTTAAGCAACTCTGTGAAATGCAAATACAACCGTACATTATTTCATGCATGCATGTGTCTGTATACAAAGCTATAAAATTGAGACCCTGAAATGATATTTAGAAAGTTCATAACAAAATTGACTTATTTTCATTGTTATATATTTATACCTACTTAGCAGAACCAGTCCATTGCCCAGCCCAAACTTCATATTCAGTGAAAATGGTTATTGTATGCACAAACAGTAAAGGGATCAAACTGTTCGGATCCGTTAAAACCTTTGGGGAGACTTGAGATTCATCAGTGATCTATAAATATACACCATCCAATGTCTTGAGGGGAGGGGAAGCTTTGGGTTTTATTAATTTTAACATTAACACTCAGCTATCTAAGAGACTACATGTAGGGTAGCATCCTAAATAATATCCTGTTTTCCTATGTCCCTTCAGAAGCCCCATACATATCAGTGCTTTTATTTTGATCATGCTGGCCAAGATACAAAAAAAAAAAAAATCTTTGAGCATTGCTTTCTAAAGCATGCCCAGCCAGACCTTATCCAAAAGTTTCTAGGGTTAAAACCCTTTATTTTTCATTTTTGAAATTAAAACATAATTATTTCATTTCCCCCTTCCATTTTGAAAATTTAACCCTTCCAAAGCACCCCCTTGCTTGCTTTCAAATCCAGGGCCTCTATATTTTAAATATTGTCATGTGTGTGTATGGGGGGGGGATTACTGAAAACCACCACGGATCAAAATGCAGGAACAAGTAATTGTGTGGTATCTAGCCTCACATACTACATCTATAACTCCAAACAATCCATGATTTGTCTGTCCTATACAAAAATTAGGCCCTTCCAAACAGAGTTCTTCATTTTGTAGAAGTGAAAACAGATTCTCACAGCATGATATGATGTCAATGAGTAAGCGAGATTCCAGAAGAAATAATTATAATGGCCAGCTTGTTTCAAAGACATTCTAAAGCTTCTCAAGTCCTTACCAGCATCTTCTTAGTGACATTTCTTACTGATATGCTGAGGAAATTCTTTAAAAAGAAACCAAGTCCCTCAAAGTTTTCCTAATTCTATAAATTATTTTCATTTGCTTTCTGAAGTCTCACTATGTAGCTTTGGTTGGCCTAGAACTCATAGAGATCCTCCTGCTTTACCTTCCAGGTAGTCAGCTTGAGGGCTAATGCCACCAAATTTGGCTCTAAATTGTTCAGTTAAATTAAATTTTGGGTAAGGCTGGAGAGATGGCTCAGTGGGTAATGACATGTGCTACCAAACTTGATGACCTGAGTTTGAGCCCCAGGACTGACATGGTGGAGAAGACAAACGATTCCCCAAAGCTTTCCTCTGCCCACATCAAGCACATGCGTACTCACCTTCACCCTCAGCATACAAAATACAATAAATAGAAAGCTGCTTAGATTCTTGAACAAAAACTCCAATATGTAAAAGTTTATTTTCCCTTTTTATGGATTATAAAACTAGCATGTCTCCTGGAGTATTTCCCATGGTTTCTACAGAATATCGAAGATGCCTAGATGGATTATTAAGGAGCTTCAAAATATATTGAAAAGTCATTTTGCTACCAACAGCTAGCCTGAAAGTGCAGCTTCCATTACTATCCTAATAGGTCTCCTGCCTGAGTGCTGGCAAATGTATTATTAAACCCAAAACTTCCCCCGTGTCAGGACAAATTGGTTGTTCTTTAATAGGAATTAATGATTGGAATAAATCACTTATAGGTGCCACAGAGACAAGCAATCCATCCATCCGTCCATCCATCCATGTGTCCAAACTATTATACAGAATCAACAAGGTCCTTAAAATGTTTGAAGAACAAGTGTCTACATTTCTCCATAGAATGTCACTAACCACACCTGTAGGTATTATCCTCAGCATCACCTACACAATCATCATGTTCAATATGCTCATCAGTGATAGTGACAGGTCAGGTTTTTTGGAAGGTTCTTTCTGTGGATAAGCGCCAAGGTAACCCCTGGTATCCTCAGGGCTGCAATGATGTTTATTCTTAATCAGGCTCCCTGGTTCAGGATCCAGTCTACTGTGATTTTTCAACAGTCTTATTAAATCTCATGGATAACAGTTGCCCTAACCATGGTAATTAATATTTCAGTGTGTATCCAAGTCAAATATGTAACCATGGATTGATAAGGAAGAGAAGATAGATATTTATGAAGCAACTATCATGCATCAGATGCAGCATTAGGCTCCCACTACTTTATGTGTGTCTCTTGTGGCTGAGGCTAGCTTACCACTTGTTTTCTCTAAGTTTCCAAGCTAGTTGGGGTGACTCGCTCTAACTAGGTCTATTCTATTTGCTATACTTTCATCTAGTTTATCTCTCTATTTCTGAACTCTCTGTTTGTCATCTCTTCCCACTAAGATATAAATTATTTGTAGGCCATGGTTATAGCTATTTCATGCTACTTATCTGTTGAATTTATTATTTATATAATATTTTTCATACAATATATTTTGATCATATTCTTCCCCTTCTACAACTCCTTCCAGACCCTCCTCAGCCATCCAACTTCATGTTTGCTCTCTCTCTCATCTCAACAAGCAACCAGAAAAAAATGAAAATAAACAAAAAAAAAACAAAAACCCAATAATTACAAAAAAAAAAAAGCCAAAACACAATGAAATGCATACACCAAAAAAACATGGAGTCCATTTTATGTTGGCCAAATACTCCTTTGCAAGGAGTGTGGTGGATATACTCAGTGATACTCCATTGGAGAAAACTCCATTTTCCCTTTCCCAAAAGGTATCAATTGCAAATAGCTTCTCGGTGAGGGGTGAGCCTCTGTGTTCACCTCTCCTCTCCGTGATGAGACTTTGTCTAGTTTGAACCTGTGTCAGGCCTTGCACATGCTGTTAACAGTCCCTGTGAGTTCATGTGTATTGAACTACAAGGAAAAGAATAGCAGAGAGAGAGGACCCTCCTCATAAAGTCATAGAAGCAAAACAAAGCAAAAAGAAAGAAAACCCCAAGATAAAAGTATGTTTTCTATGTACATCCTATCCATGTTCTAAGTAGACTAAAAGTGTAAACTTGAAGAATTAGAAGGAACAATTTATAGATGACTTTTTAATATTTATTTTCAATTTTAGATTTGTGAACAATAAATAGATGTTTTAATGTTTTCATCACCACTTCTCTGATTCTCTTATCTATTTTCTTAGTGAATTTTCAATTCAGATGAAGGAAAGATGACTTAAACTATCAGACAACGAATATATACAGAATCATTGTTCTATTTTCAGGGATACCCAAGACATAGATTGCCTTTCCTAGAAATGGTACTGTTAGGATGAAATCCATGGGGGTGAGATTAGAACTGAGAAGGGGAAAATGGAAGGGACAGAAAGACAGAGATGGAATCGGAGATCGGATCATAGCTGATGAGAACCCCAGCCCCAGAGTAGCCCAAGGAGCCTGGCTGTGTAACACTTCAAAGTTCGATTCAATTTAAGTTCCTCTTGCTTGGGACAGACCAAGGATATGTTTCAGAAACCTACCTGAGACCCTGGGAGAACTTATAGCAGTTCCTATCCCCATTCCCTGGGGGAGTAGAAAACAAAATTTGGGACATTGATTGCAGCAACAGGAACTTTCCAGAAGCCTCTGGAGGTCATAGTTAGTTGTGTGGTCTTTTCAGCCATGATAGTAGAAGGAAAAGCAAGACCACCATCCATTCTCGAACAAGGACAGTACCAGCCAGACTCTAGCTACCAGGTAAATTAACTTTGGGTCTTGATCTTCTGCAATTTTTAATAA